CCCTCGTTATATTATTTTCCTTATTTTTGGAGAAGGGTTCACGCCAAATCATACCTTTTTATTCTCCATTGATTCACGCACGGATACCATTCATTGAACGTCAATTCTCTCCTTTCAACATTATCCCATATTCACCATATACCTCACGTCATTCACCCACCAAATTCAATCACCTCTATCTCCATTCATACACGCACAATTCCTCACCATCACCTTCAATTAATTCATGGCTATGGCATCTAATAACCTTGGTGGAGGAGATAATACCATGGAAGCTTAAGCTTATAAGGAGGCAACTTGGAAGGAGCATGAAGGAGACTAGAGCCTTGGGCTAGCACTTGAAGACCACAAGGGAGTGATATTCCATTTATCTTTTTAATTCAAGGACTTGAATTTGTTAGTTTTAAATGGGTTCAGGTTGTAATTTTGTTGAGACAATTTAGTTCTAGATTGTCATCTTTATGCTTGGATTGGATTGATATTTGGATTTTATTTGTGTTGAGACACTTGTTGGAATTTATGTTTAGAACCTTTGCATTGTTAATTGAATTTATAATTGAGTTTTCATTATGAGTTTAATTATCAATGTAGTTTGAATTACAAAATTTGGGTTCTTTTGCCTCTTAATTGTTTAATTAAGTTGGCTAATTGTCTAATTGTTTAATTGGATAATTTCAAACATAATTTTCAGAATTAATTGAGTTATTTTTTATTGGTTTTAATAAGTTTAATTAACCAACCTTATACTGTTATGAGTTCTCTAATAGTTTAAGGGTTTTTGAAATTGAGGGTTCCCTTTGTTTCAAGTAGGTAATTAAGTTTATTAATTCCACTCTCTTATCACCTCCTTTTGGTCTAATTAACTGATTAAGGTTATGAAGGTTGAATTCATGCGAATCCTAAGTTGTCTCCTCTACCGTACCTGAAGAGAAATCTCTGAATTTTTACTTGCTAATTCTCTTTGCTTTCTGATTAATTTTCTTGATTCATTATTTTTATTTTCCTTCAAAAAACCCCCCAAAAATTGCATTGCATTCATTTAGTTTGGTTTAATTTTCATATAGATTTAGGACATTTGCATTTTGCATTTAGAATTAGAATTTTACATTTTAGTTTGAGTCCACTTTATTGCTTTTTTTTATCACCTAAATTTTCACTAAAGAAACCCATAACTTGTTCTTTGGAAGTAATGACCTAGGTCGACTCTAAACTACAAATTAATTGGGACCTAGTTTAATTGAATGCTTTGACGACAAAAAGCATCATCAATACCCCTCTCTTTTTATTTTATTAAAAAATAAATATTTATCGGAGTTACTGTTTCGGCCACCGGCACTCAGGTGGCCACCGCCGGGGGTCTGATCACCGGTGGCCAGAACAGTAGCTCCGGTCGGACCTCCGGTGGCCGGAGTTTTTTTTGTTTAAAACAAAGTGGCCAAGAGAGGGTTTGAACCCCTGACCCCTTGGCACACCAAAAGACTTGTAGTCACCAAGCCAAGCAACCCATTCAATCATAAGATGTAAATAAAACTACATATAACAAAACAAACGCAAGTGTCCAAATATAAGTGAATAAGTGAAATTAGACGATTTACAAGTGGAATTCAGCAATTTGCAACAAAAATTAGGCAATTTACAAATAACATAATAGAAGTCATAACCCAAAATGCAAGTATTTAAGTGCAAATGAGCAAGTAAAATTTGAAGATTTACAACAAAATTTTATGGATTTACAACCGAAATTTGGTAAACACAAGAGAATTCACAACCCAAAATGTAAGTGTTTGAGTGTAAGTGAACAAGTGAAATTAGACGATTTACAAGTGGAATTCAGCAATTTATAACAAAAATTAGGTAATTTACAAATAACATAATAGAAGTCATAATCCCAAATACAAGTGTTTAAGTGCAAATGAGCAAGTGAAATTTGAAGATTTACAACAAAAGTTTATGGATTTACAATCTAAATTTGGCAAGCACTAGAGAATTCACAACCCAAAATGTAAGTGTTTGAGTGTAAGTGAACAAGTGAAATTGGACGATTTACAAGTGGAATTCAGCAATTTACAACAAAAATTAGGAAATTTACAAATAACATAATGGAACTCACAATCCCAAATACAAGTGTTTAAGTGTAAATGAGCAAATGAAATTTGAAGATTTACAACAAAATTTTATAGATTTGCAAGTGAAATTCGACAATTTCACTTGCTCATTTGCACTTAAACACTTGTATTTGGGGTTATGACTTCTATTATGTTATTTGTAAATTGCCTAATTTTTATTGTAAATTGTTGAATTCCACTTGTAAATCGTCTAATTTCACTTGGTCACTTTCACTCAAACACTTACATTTTGGGTTGTGAATTCTCTTGTGTTTGCCAAATTTGGATTGTAAATCCATAAACTTTTGTTGTAAATCTTCAAATTTCACTTGCTCATTTGCACTTAAACACTTGCATCTGGGGTTATGACTTCTATTATATTATTTGTAAATTGCCTAATTTTTGTTGTAAATTGCTAAATTCCACTTGTAAATCGTCTAATTTCACTTGTTCACTTACACTCAAACACTTACATTTTGGGTTGTGAATTCTCTTGTGTTTGCCAAATTTGGGTTGTAAATCCATAAACTTTGTTGTAAATCTTCAAATTTCACTTGCTCATTTGCACTTAAACACTTGCATTTGAGGTTATGAGTTCTATTATGTTATGTGTAAATTGCCTAATTTTTGTTGTAAATTGCTGAATTCCACTTGTAAATCGTCTAATTTCACTTGTTTACTTACACTCAAACACTTACATTTTGGGTTGTGAATTCTCTTGTGTTTGCCAAATTTGGGTTGTAAATCCATAAACTTTTGTTGTAAATATTCAAATTTCACTTGCTCATTTGCACTTAAACCCTTGCATTTGGGGTTATGACTTCTATTATGTTATTTGTAAATTGCCTAATTTTTGTTATAAATTTCTGAATTCCACTTGTAAATCATCTAATTTCACTTGTTCATTTATATTTGGACAGTTGCGTTTGTTTTGTTATATATAGTTTTATTTACATCTTATGATTGAATGGGTTGCTTGGCTTGGTGGTTATAAGTCTTTTGGTTTGCCAAGGGATCATGGGTTCAAACCCTCCCTTGGACACTTTGTTTTAAACAAAAAAAAAACTTTGGCCACCGGAGGTCGGCCGGAGTTACTGTTCTGGCCACCGATGGTCGGACTCTGGCGGCGGCCACCTGAGCTCCGGTGGCTGGACCTCCGACCTCTGGTGGCCGGAACAGTAACTCCGATAAATATTTATTTTTTAATAAAATAAAAAGGGAGGGGTATTATTGTAATCTCACTCTAAATTTTAATTTCAATTTGGTCCCTTGGTCCTGCAGTGAAATTTCAGAAAGTTTTAGTCCTTGACTGATATAAATTGCCTTCTGCGGTCCTTGACTGAAATTTTCCCTTTTTTTTAATCCTAATGCCATGTAATATGATTCTATTTGACATGTTTTAGCTCTATATATAGCTATAAATTTAGATGTTACAATCTACATATAATTCATGTATTTATTTTTACAAATATAAATTCTAAAATAAAGATTTTTTTTGGTAATTATTGTTGTTAGAAAAGAGTTACTACTAAAAACAAAAATCAAAAGTAAACACTTTAAACAAAAGAAAGTTCAAAATAAATTTAAGATGTCTATATCACATCTCGATAAGCACATGATATTTGAATTTGGACGCTATTAGCAGGAAAAAAAACTTGTAGGGCGCGCAATCTATTAAATATAAAGTCGTCGACTCATGAAACTATAATTAATTCTAGAATTAAAATTGTAATCATCAATCAACAATAGATTTTATAAACATACTACCTCCAATTCTAAATATAAAAGTTAATTTGTAATATAAATTATACTATAAATTAGCTGGCATTATGACATACAAGTTTTATAACAAAATCCACTAAAATGCTTCTTTTCTTCTAACTTTTTACAATTTTTTTTTTATTTTTAATAAAAAGTTTACAGATTTTACACATACCCTATTTTATGTTAGCAATTTGATTTTACAATTTTCTCACTTTTTATTAATTTATTATTTTTATGTTAGTAAGATAATTTAAATTGATTATATAGTTATATTTATAAAGTTTGGGTTAATTTAAATATATTATTTTCTGAAACCATAAAAACAACTTGAAGTTAGTCTAATTTCATTAAAAAAATTAGAAAAGTAAAAATACTATAAAATTGATTTCTTTTTTTATTTTGGGAAAAAAAGAAAGAAGCTGGCCAGGCCTTAGTCTAATTTTAGTTGCTTAAATCCCAGCATGCTTGGAGATGGGTTTTTTCAACCCACTCTGTTAAGCCCGTAGTCCATTGCGAGTCAACTTACGGTCGTCTAACATTACCACTTTTATGATCTATTTTTCTTGATTTTTGTACTCTTCATTTGAGGACCTTAGTTGACTCAGAGAGCCTGAGAATTAATCCCCGAGATTTTGTTTTCTAGTATGGTTTTGAACTTAGCTCCTTCTCTTGCATTTAAAAGGAAAAAAAAAAAAAACAGAGTTAAGGTTTTATGAAAATTCTTCCGGAAGTTGTTGGGAAAGAAACAAATTTTAGTTGATGCTAGGGTAAATTTGTGTATTTTGCCCTTGTGTGTTTCAAAATCTTTATCATACTAAGGGCTTGTTTGGAGCTCCGTTCAAAATGGGCTTTTAAGCAAGTTCACGTAAGCCGAGATAAAACTCTCCTCACATACTTACCTTGTATTCCGTAAATCACGTTTGAAAAGCTACTTATAAGTCAATCCAAACAAGCCCTAAATTGCTGTAATTTTCAATTAAAAAAGACAAGAAAACAAACTGTTTGACTTGTTGGTCCTAGCAGCAATAGGAGAGATCGAGAGAATGCACGTGCCTGCTCAGACGGCCTCTCTCTATTTAAAGCCAAGCTCAGACGGCCCTGTAATCCTCACCGCGATAGATCAACCGAAGACTTGCCAACGAAGGGAGCAACTAGCCATGCCGACTCAAACAATATAGCAAACGAAAAACCAGACCCACAGAGAGAGAGAGAGAGAGAGAGAGAGTAACAAACAAAATAACAGAGAAAAGAGGGGGATGATAGGAAGCAGAAACCGGGGGGTGTTTAGTGTAGGTGTGTGTGGGCAAGAAGAGCTTGAACTGTCCAGAGATGGCAGCCATTACAGTCTATCTACCGGCATATTGCCTTCTCTTGGCGCTCGAAGCAACCGCCGAAACATCCTTCGACCTTTCATTATCTCCCCCTACGACCGCCGTTACAGGTTATCTTCTCTCTCACACATTCTCATTTCTCGTGTTTCTTGTTTCTTTCTTTCTCTCTCTTTTTTCCCTTTCTCGTGATTTGCTCTCTTTCTCGCTGTTATATTAATTTTATTGGAAGCATTCTCGTGACTGCCGAAAGTGTTTCTTTCGTCTTTTTTAATTTTTTTTTTGTCCCGTTGGTTAGACTTGTTGCAACCTCTTTCGTTTTCTCCCATCAAAAAGCTGATTTTTTTCCAAAGGAAAATCTTTTCTTTGTCATTGTTTCCTTTAAAATTGCAATCTATTGAGAAATGCTCGCCATCCTCTGGTCAGCTTAATAGGCACTTCTTGTTGGACTGTTGCAGATTTTCTTGCTTTCCCGTCAGAGATGGCTGGTAGTCATATATGATTTTTCTTCTTCTTCTCTGCTTCAAAGATTTGATTATTATTGTTATTAGTACACAAGGGGACAGGAACGATTCGGATTGGCCAATGCAAAGAAGTTTCAATTTCTAATTGAAAACAGCTTTCTTTTAACTGGAAGCGAATAAAGTGTGCTTTTTTTTGCCCACAGAATATGGCAGACTTTTCTGGTGATTCTGGTTATATACACGGCATGGGTGTCGCCATTTGAGTTTGGATTCCTCAAGGAACCGATAAGATCACTCTCCATTGCAGACAACGTTGTCAACGGATTCTTTGCAATTGACATAGTTCTTACCTTCTTCGTTGCCTATCTTGACAAAACTTCCTACTTATTAGTGGATAGCCACAAAAGAATCGCCTGGAAATACGTTAGTTCTTGGTTTGCCTTTGATGTCATCTCCACGATCCCTTCAGAGCTCGCTCGAAAAATCTCCCCTTCCCCCCTTAAAACCTATGGATTCTTCAACATGCTTCGCCTCTGGCGTCTCCGAAGAGTCAGTGCTCTGTTTTCTAGGTACGAGATATGATAATTTTGTTTCAGATCAATGACCTTTCTATTGAGATCTGATTTCAATCTCAAGTCTTTTATGCTTCTGATCAGATTGGAAAAGGACAAGAACTATAACTATTTCTGGGTTCGTTGTGCTAAGCTTATATGTGTAAGTTTCTGAACGGTGTTCTGATTGATGTACAGAGTTTGTAGTGTGGCAGATGAGCAACGTTTGGGTTTGTCTGTGTAGGTCACGCTTTTTGCTGTTCACTGTGCTGGATGCTTCTATTATCTTCTTGCTGCTCGGTATCATGATCCCAAGAGGACGTGGATAGGAGCACAAATGGGGGATGATTTTGAGGAACAGAGCTTGTGGTTGAGATATGTGACTACTATATACTGGTCAATTACAACCTTAACAACTGTCGGCTATGGAGATTTGCATCCAGTAAATTCCAGAGAGATGACCTTCGACGTCTTTTATATGCTCTTTAACCTGGGATTAACTGCGTATTTGATTGGTAACATGACCAATCTGGTTGTCCATTTTACAAGTCGAACTAGACAATTTGTAAGTAAATTATCAAAACATTTCTCTATTTCAAGCTTCAAACATATCATCTTAGAAGTGGATAAAGTCCTGGGATGTCTCAGAATCTGATAAGATGACCCAAAAAGGACATATCCTTAGTCCTCAATTAGTTAGTAAATTCGAATTCAGAATAGTTTATTTGAAGTTTGTTGGTTGATTTTGCAGAGGGATACCATACAAGCTGCGGCAAGCTTTGCACAGAGGAATCGATTGCCTGTTCGGCTACAAGATCAGATGCTTGCACATTTGTGTTTGAAGTTCAGAACAGATTCAGAGGGGTTACAGCAGCAAGAGACACTTGATTCTCTTCCTAAAGCCATAAGATCAAGCATTTCTCATTATCTCTTCTATTCTGTGGTAGATAAGGTTTATTTATTTCGTGGGGTCTCAAATGACTTGCTTTTCCAACTGGTAATTGTCTAATCATGTCTTCTCAGACTTTTCTTGTTTGTGTGTTTTTTCTGCTAGTCGTTTGTTTGATTTCTATTTTTGTCAAAAAGGTCTCGGAAATGAAAGCTGAGTATTTTCCACCCAAAGAAGATGTCATCTTGGAGAATGAAGCTCCCACAGATTTCTACATTCTAGCGACTGGTGCTGTGGTAATAATCCAACTTCCACTGACTGTGTTGGGATGGGGTAACTTACTTTATAAAAAGTTTATTCTCTTTTTTTAAGCAATAAATGCACGAATTTCAACTGTTTCATTTTTAATATAAATCAGTGTTTAATAATTGACTCTTTACATGTCATCTTATTTTTCTTGAACTTCTTTATTCAAGTAAGAAATTGAAACAAAATCATAATAAGATTTAAATTGTTCAATTTTTTTTTTTTTTGGCTTGTAGCATGATGAAATTGGCTGGCCCAGCAACAAATACTGTAATGGGAATGATATTGCATTAGAAGCAAGATTTTCTGTATTCAATAATATTTATCGTTTCGTAGTTTTTCTTAAATGTAGATAGACACGGGTGTTATCTTATCTGTTTCTTTTTCTCACTCTCTTTTTGCTCTTTAAATGTAAATCTTGAGATTAAAAGTCATTCTATTTATAGTTGAGTGAATCATTCTAGTAGATGGTGTGTGTATTGATAATTTTGTCTCGCAAAAGTGGCAGTTTAATCTTGTTAATTATTTTGTTATAGGAGCTGTTAGTTTTGAAAAATGGGGTAGAACAAGTGGTGGGAGAGGCAACCACTGGTCAACTCTGTGGTGAGATAGGGGTACTCTGTTACAGGCCACAACTCTTCACGGTTCGAACCAAGAGATTGAGCCAACTTCTTAGGCTGAACCGTGCCACCTTCCTCAACATTGTGCAGGCCAACGTTGGAGATGGCAACATAATCATCAACAATCTCCTTGAGGTTGGTCCCTACTACCCTTTTCAGCCTTAGATGTATGAACTAGATGACTAATCTAAAGATATTAAGAAAATTAATTAAGTCGGTTATTTGTATCAAATGTTTGCTGCTTATATCTTCATCGATAAATACTTCCTTTAATACATGCAACTAATATTGATAGTTGGAAAAAATTTGGAAATTTGTGAGGTAAAGTGGACGAAAGTCTTATATTAAGATCAAAGTGCATTTTTAAACTAACTACTATGTTTAGGATGGAAGGGAGTAAACTGTTAGGGAAAAACAACATTGAAAATGTGAAAGAGAAACTAATTAAGGTACAATAACGATGGATGATGTTGCTTTTGTTGTTGTTGTTGTGACAGCATTTGAAGGAACAGGAAGACCCAATGATGAAGAGTGTGTTGGTGGAGACAGAGAACATGCTGGCTCGTGGAAGGATGGACCTACCGCTTAGCCTCTGCTTCGCTGCTCTTAGAGGAGACGACTTGATGTTACATCAGTTGTTGAAACGAGGCTTGGATCCCAATGAATCTGACAACAACGGAAGAACTGCTCTCGTACGTACAAACTTCTATTGCTACCACCACCATTCATTCTACTTTCCCTTTGTTCTCATACTACCTCCGGTTCTAAATATAAGACTTAGTTTGTAGTGCAAGAACTGGAGATACTACATAAAATGAAACTTGCGTGCCGTATATTGCGTGGACTATGAGGAATGAAATGTGCTCTTTAACAGCTTGGGTTGATTTCACTTATTTTGAAGGATTTTGTGCTATACAAGACAAATGTATAATGAGAGTTTTGTCTTGTAAACACAAAAACGCTTTTTTTAAGTGTTCCCTAACCCACTTATAATTTTACTGGATCACTGTATAGTGAGCCTCATCGTTCATGGAAAGCTGCTTTACTTGTAAGAGCATAAAAGTAATGCAGCTTTTTCTCTAAATAGCCACTCTTTTCTTGTACTTTCTCGCCACATACAAAACAATAGATTTGCTTCAGATCTGTAGAAAAAGGATTTAATAGAGAAGCCGTATGCATAATCTCTGACTCGTCGTAATGCTCGAGCAAACATGTTTGTAAAAAAACAGTTTTATGATTCAATAATAACAACCAAAGCATCATATAATAAGAAAGTATACTAAAGCATGTTATATATTTGGATTTTTGTGTCCCACTGGATTGCTTCTCTCTTTCTGAATGCACATTTTGGTGAGGCCTAAATTTCTTGATTTCTAATCTGTCTTTCATTTTCTGCATTGTATCAGCATATTGCAGCATGTAAAGGAAGTGAGAACTGTGCCGTGCTTCTATTGGATTACGGGGCTGATCTCAACGTTAGAGGTAATCATCTCATTCAAATTTTTTACATTCTATTTTATGATATAAACGTTTACTTTGCTCGAAATATTTTTAAATGGTTGAATGATTTATTAAAAGGGCAAAAAAAAAAAAAAAAGATAGCGATATCAGTAAAAGATGAAATTGACCAATTAGTTTAAATTGAAAATTATAATTTTATTTTATTGTATGTTTCTATGATTAACTAGTTATGAACTTTTTTTTTTAATATTTGAAATCTTTTTGAAGTTCAACTTTTGTTATTTCTACTTTTCGTTTTACAATTTTTTTCCCCCCTAAATTTTATAATTTCAAATGTTTGTATTGTACGTGGTATGTTGCGCTGCCTCTGATATATTGGTGCTTCTCAGCTCTCCATAGACGATTGTGTGTAAACCCAAAGCCATGCATCTTGTCTTTTAAAACCACAGGTCATACTCTAATCCGTAGGGTGTATCTGAGGGCATTATTATTTAATTAATTAGCATTAAGTCACTCGTTCAGGTATGTTGCTTCTAAGGTCTAAACATGATGTTGTGAGTGGCCAAGAATTGTATTTTCCGAGAGGCTTCTGCTTTGCTCATTTCTTAATACTTTGTCAGCCTCAATAATGCAAGAATCCCTTTCCTATTTTAGTCAGGTCATCGTAATAATGGATTTGAGATAATATTAAGTATAGCCGTCTGTCTCGTTTACCAAGGCTTATTTATTTATCCCCATACGCTCTTCCAAACAGAACAAAAATTTATTATTATTATTTATTTGTAAAAAGATGGTGTCATGGACATCAGATGGGATTGTGATTTTCTGGTAGTAGTCGCAGCCTAAATAGGATCCTGTTCTATTCCAAAGTCAACTTTCCAGTTTGATACACCCAATGGGTGATCCATACACATTCAAATTTGTCTACCCCAGATTTCAATGTTGACTTTATGACTGCATGTTACTACCTTCGATCCTTAATATAAGAGCTAGTTGACTAATTTGAGTAGATTAAAGAAACTAGTTAAGTTAACTATTTATAATAAATATATGTTATTATTTCTAAAATATCCTTGTTAATCAAGTATATTGGCTAGAACTATCATTATTGTAAGGACTATCTTGGAAAAAAATGAATAAATATGAGAGATAAAGTGGATTGCGGTCTTATATTTAGGATCAAAATAAAAGTGAAACAAATTCTTATATTAAGGACTGGAGGTAGTATTTTATATACTACTTGTTGTACTTAATATAAAAACTAGTTAAATATTCAATTTGATATTAAATATAAGACTATAATTTATTTTACCTCCTATATTTATTTATTTTTCTCCAATTCATCCGTGATTGTACACGTTACGTGTTAGTTTTAACGCACATAATTTACAGTGACGTTTTAGTGAAGACAGCACTATAACTTGACTAATTTCTTAAAAATTGGAAAATCAGTTATTTGACTCTTGTATTAAGAATTGGAGAAGGTAGTATATTAAAAACTGTGACGCTGCAAAATGAATGTGAAGATGAAGCTTTTGTTTAAGACGATGTGTTCACTCAGTTTCAAATTTGCAGATTGTGAAGGGAATGTACCACTATGGGAAGCAATACTGGGTCATCACCAATCAATGGTGAAGCTATTAGCAGAAAATGGAGCTTCCTTGAAATTCGGAGACGTGGGTCATTTCGCCTGCATTGCAGCAGAACAGAATGACCTTAACTTGCTCAAAGACATAGTCCGATATGGAGGAGATGTCACACTTCCTAGAAACCACAATGGAACCACAGCCCTCCACGTCGCAGTCTCTGAAGCCAACGTTGAGATTGTCAAGTTCCTGCTGGATCATGGGTCTGACGTAGACAAACCAGACAAGGAAGGGTGGACCCCAAGAGAGCTTGCAGACCAGCAAGGTCATGAAGAAATCAAAACCATTTTTGCATCCACAAAGGAACCCAAAGCTCAGTCTGTTGTATCCATGCCTGAGAGACACAGCACAAAGATCAGATACCTAGGAAGGTTCACTAGTGAGCCATCCATGCCTGTGGCTCCACAAGATGGCCCGCTTCGTGGCAATGATAGGTCGTACGGCGGGAGCAGGCCGAGGAGGAGGACGAATAATTTTCATAATTCTTTGTTTGGGATTATGTCCGCTGCTCACAAGGGGGACAACATGGAGGATTTGATGCTTGGTGTAAATAAGGAAAAATGTATGGGGAATGATGTTGATAATGGAGTTGGTGGAGGGTGTTTGGCTGCTAGGGTTACTATTACTTGTCCAGAAAATGGTGAGGTTGGAGGAAGACTTGTGCTGTTGCCTGAGAGCTTTAAGGATCTGATTGAGATTGGTGTTAAGAAATTTGGATTGAGCCATGATAACGTCAAGGTTCTGAACATAGATGGGGCTCAGATTGATGATATTGATGTTGTTAGAGATGGTGACCATCTGGTTTTTGCCTCTGCTGGTGGTCTTGTGCGCCAATCCAGTTGCCCGGAACCAACTCAAAACAATGTTTTGTGAAAATCTTCCTTCCTTCTTCATCTGATCAAGCAATTTCCATTGGCCTGAGAAGCTCCCCAAAAAGAAAAATCCAGCTTATTATCTTTTGTCTTCCCACCTGCTGCTTCATTTCACTTCACTGTTCATCCCAATTTCAAAGAAATAGAAATATAAACGGATGATTCACTGTTTTAGTCTCACTTTGTGAAAAGTAAATGTTTTGTTTTTCATGGCTGCTAAGAGCTCAGATTGAGAAATAATATACTTCAATTGTCTATAGATCCCTTGCTTTCTACTGTATGTTTGCTTTTCCCTAGAGCATTTCTAGTTTTCGAGCAATGTCAGCTCCTTGTTTTAGTCTTGTATGCAGGATATGGCCAAGTCTGAACTTTTTTCATATGAACTAAAAATAGAGTCTTTTTGATAAAAACAAAAGAAAAGAAAATAAATCTTTATAACATCCAGTATTTTAAATATCGATTAACTAAGTGCAATGGGAGAAGTGTTTTATGTATGGAGTAACGAAGGGTAAACAAGAAGTTTAGGGGCAAAAACAAGCATATTAAGAGTAGTCATGAACTCTATACTTAAAATTTTGTAATATCCAATTTGTTTAAAAGCAATAGTATTTTTGTTCTTTTACCCATAAAATTTTAGTGCTTGAGGATGCAGTGGAATTTCAGAATTTTTTGAGAGTTAGTTGATATTAATTGGCTAATGGAGGTTTATTGAAATTCTCCACGAAAAATATCCAAAAATTTAAGAAAAATTAAAACAAATCTTGAAAGATGGAAAAGAGGTTTTTAAGGTATTTTTCACGCTTAGAAAATTATTTAAAGTGAAAATTCCCGAAAAGTCTATGTTGGGAGGAAATTTTAAGGAGATAAATGAAAACATACTTATTGAAATTATGTAAGGGTCCATAAAACTTATTAACAAAATATAGCTGATTATTTTGGAAAAAGTGGTTGTCAATTGCACTACCGTTGTGGAAAATATCAAATGAAGTGTAGTAAATTGGCATAAGAAATCATTTATTTTAACAAGCTTGAGATTTAGAAAAAGTGGCTGTCAATTGCATTATTGTTGTGGTAGTAATGCATTACAAAAGTAGTTAATTGCCATAAGGATTTATTTAATTTTCGCATGTCGAAAATTTGAAAAAAGTAGTTGTCAATCGCATTACTCTGATAAATATCTAGTGAAGTGTGCTAAATTGTGTTACAGAGAAGTTGTAGATCACCAAAAGATTAAGCTTAATAATTAACTTATATATTATTTTTCATTAAATTATCAAATGGATTGGGTGTCTTAATGGAGCAATGGGGCTTAGTTTCACACACACACACACACGAAACTAATGGCAAAAATTATAAAAGCACCGATATTTTAAAATTTCTAGCTATTTATCAGGAGTATGGGTTTCAAATTTTGGAAATTGGTGCTACCTTTGTGAAATTCAGCAATTCAAATGGTCATTTTTTTAAGGATTTCCCATTTTAAATATTTCTCCTTTTCATTTGACAATTTTTTTAACAAAAAAGTATACGTTGAAATGTTTGTATGGTTTGGCCAAAAAAGAAGAAGAAATGTTTGTATGGCACTCCGTGCGCTTTATGACATATTCCTCTAGTCCTATTTATAGAATAGAGAGAGAAGATATTTTTTGGTCCTATTTATAGGGCACTGAGAGAAATTTTTTATATGGATATACAAATTTACCTTTCATTTATTATGGTGTTAACTTTGCATACATGAAGTATAATGTATATTAAATAGAGATAAAATTAGAAAGTTGTTGAATTTTAAAGAAGAGTTAATGAATTTTAAGATTTTTCTTAGTCTGTGTGAAACATGTTGGAATTGACTTATAAATAGAACAAGAGGAGTAAAGCTTTCTCACAAACTAAGAAATATTAGTTAAATTATTAAATATGTTTTAAATTACTCTTCTTTAAGAATGTAATTAGAAAATTCTCTTCCTCTTTCTTACATTTAGAACTCTTTCCTTTCCTTGTAACAAAAGGTAAAAGTATAGAAAACTAATCAATAATTATTCTGTCAAATTCTTATATTTTGAAGTAAAATTTTCTTCTTAAAAACTTTTTATATTATCGATACGTTGTGTTGCCTCTGATCGGTGCTTCTTAGCCATAAATTAGCAAGCATAATGTCTTTTGTTATCCATAGACGATTTTGTGTAAACCCAAAGAGGCCAAGGTCGTACTTTAAACTGTATCCACTATAGTTGGCAATTCAAAAGAGGCCAAAAAAAAAAACTGTATGGAGTATGAGGTAAAATTGCTTGACATATTTTCATTTCATTGGATAGCGTACAAATTAAATGCTTCACTCTCATCTATGCCTTTTTAAATCTCATTTTCTCTCTCCTCCATGGTTATTTGTATCATGTGATTTGAGATACGGATCGCACGATATGTTACACATTTAACATTGGGAGATACGAATCTCCCACTATATCCCATCAACTTGTAAATCGCGGTGTGAATCACGCAATTCACACCAGAATCGCTTGAATCGCACGCCACCGGTGGATCACACGATTCTGGGTGTTGTCAGGTCACGTGGATCCAACTCGGATTTGTGCGTGAACCAACATGGTAATTCCCTTTTTTTTTGTTATTTAAAGGAGGGAAACTGCCACAAATTCAATTACAAGCTTAGGAAACCCTATTTTTTATTCCCATCTGCTCTCTTTTTTATGTTATGTATCTTGTGCCCCGCGTTTGCATATTTTCTCCTCTTCTACTGATCCTTTCTGGTTGAAAAAGTGTTAAAGATTGAAGGCAAGGGTCCACTCTATACTGTTGTTGAGTTGTTGGTTGACAAGGTGGTCCATTCTAATCCTATTTGGTAATTCTTTTTTGCTTCCTTTTTGCTTCTATTGGATATTATATTTGTGAAGAGTGGGAAAAATGAGTCAGAATCAAAATAAGAAGAAAAAAAGGAAGCTGATATTACATGGAATCACTGTGAAAGAGTTCCTTCCCATAGACTTATGGTTAAATGCAAATACTATTCACATCAATATTGGGGTAGGGTAGCTAGAATGAAACATCATTTGGCTGGAGCTAAAGAAAATGTGATTCTTTGTACAAGTGTTCCTAATGAAGTGAAAAAATTGTTTGTTAAAATGCTAGAAAATAAATAAAAAAGCAAAGATGCTAATGGTGTTGAAATATTTACAGAGGCAACTGTTGAAGATGCTAAGGGGAAGGAAGGGACATCAAAAATTACCAAACAAAAAACAATGAATGAGATGGTAAAAGATAGGGAGTTAGTAATTCAAGATATTTGTAAATGCATCTATGGTAATGCTTTATCATTCAATTTGGTGAGAAGTCTACTGTTTATTCAAATGTTAAAATCTGTTGGTGAATATGGTAGGGGTTTGAAACCTCTAAGTTATCATGAGGTGAGATTTCTCACTTGAAAAAAGAAGTTGATAAAATTCAAGAAAGTTTAGCAAAGTATATGAAGGAATGGGAGAAATGGGGTTGTACTTTGTTGTGTGATGTTTGGACCGATGGTAGAGGAAGGTCTCTTACTAATTTTTTAGTTAACAATCCTAGTAGAACAGTTTTCTTAAAGTCAGTGGATACAAATAGTGTGATTAAAGATGCTAAACAAATGTTTGAATTACTAGACAATATGGTTGAGGAAATTGGGGAGGATAATATGGTGCAAGTTGTAACAGATGGTGCGTCAAATCTAGTGGCAGCAGGGAAGATACTAGAAGAGAAGAGAACAAAGTTATTTTGGTCCCCTTGTGTAGCACATTGTCTTGATTTAATCCTTGAAGACATTGGGCAACTTCTAGTATTTTATAATACCATCACCAATGCAAAGAAAATAACAATCTTCATTTATAGGCATACATGGGTCCTTAACTTGTATAGAAAGTATTCCAAAGGAAAAGAATTAGTTAGATCGGTAGTGACAAGGTTTGCAACAGCTTATCTTACACTAAGTTGCATATTGCAACAAAAAGATGCTCTTAGAACCATGTTTGCTTTAGATGATTAGATTTCTAGTTCTTTTGCTAGTGAAAGTGAGGGTAAGCAAGTGGTGGACATGGTTTTTGGGGATTCTAGATTTTGGAGTTCCATCAAATATTGCTTAAAGTGTGTGAGTCCATTTGTAAATGTAAGAAAATGGGCCAGTCCATCCTTGGTGGATTGGACCCAAATTCATTGAGCTTTGGGGTTCTGATGTAAATTACAAAACATATGTGTCCCTAACTGCAATTTTAGCCTTTTTTTATATGATATGCAAAATCGGGGGAACGGTTGGATGAAGGAGGCGGTTTATTATTTTCAAAAGTGTGGAGTTACATAACTAATCCAAGAGGGATCATTTCAAGTGCGCGTGCTTTTCTCCATATTCGGTTGGTTCCTCCAGACTCCTCCTCCCACTCTCCTTTCCTGTGCATTTGCTGTGTCTCCAAGATCCGAGTTCAATACTGTAACCGGACCTCCGTGTGGCTATCTGAAGATTTCGAATACTCCAGGTACACCCGAAATCCTACATTGGTATCAGAGCTGTGATTTTTCCTGTTGGTTCTGTGGTCTGCGTTTTTTTTTATATTAGTGTTCTTTCCTGTTTTTCGGTTCTGAGCATCAGAGATTTGCTTCACATATATATTATGCAAATCCTTTCATTTATGCTACAGTATGATTGTTTTCTGACTTATATTTATAAGTAGATATGATAGATTATGTCTCTACCTCCATAGAATGCGTTCTACATCAGTATATTTTTTGACCGTACGTTTGACCTTTTTGGGTGTCTGGAAAATGAAGTTTTTTGGCTTCAAAAATTATCCCATTGCATAGAGCTCGAAAAAACGAAGAAAATGATATAAAGCACGCAAAAAACGGACACCGGAAGACGAAGATATGGAGGAGAGAAGATTTCGGGTCCGTCGGACTCGAACCGGTTTCAGAAGCCGGGTTAAGATGACCTGGCTAGAGGTTGAAGGAGACCTCCCAGGGCCAAAACGGCGTCGTTTTGGCCCCTCCTGTTTAAAAAAAAAAAGGAAAGGAACTGGGCTGGATGCAGGATCCAGCCTAGATGTAAAAAAAAAAAAAAAAGGGAGGAAAAGGTATCTGGGCCGAGAAGCAGGGTCCAGCCCATTATATATATATATAAAAAAAACAAATTTAGTAAAAAATTTTTTTTTCCAGAACTGCCATGTGGCGTGTTCCGCCACGTAGCATGCCATCTAGATACGTGGGGCCCACCACCTGAAAGGTGGTGGTGCGTGGAGCCGGAACGGC